CATACCTTTAATTCAGGCATTCTGGAGGCAGAGGCAGATGAATGAATTTCTGGGAGTCTGAGGACAGCCTGGCCTGCATAGTGAGTTGCAGGGCAGCTAGGGCTACACAGTGAGACTCTGCCACCCCAAATATGCAGTGCTGGGAGGGTCCAGCTGTGTGCATGGCTGGGCGGTCTCACACTGTAGGAACACTTAAGTCAAGTGGAGGTCCCCATGCACGGCTCTCCTAACTAGACCACAGACATGTGACCACACCTCAGAGAACACTGACCTACCTTCCTCAGGCTGATGACCTCAGGCCTCTGTGGTCCCAGAGTTCAAGGTGAGTTTGCTGCGATCTCGTGCCCACACCCAGAGATCTGGGTTGTAAGCCTGGATCTGGAGAGAGAGTAGTGCCCTTAGGAGATGCTGGCTGCCCGGGAAGAACCTGCACCCTCCTTGTCCAACTTCCCAGTCTTCCATTCTCCAAATCCACCCTCCATCTCTGCTCCCATCTCTCTCCAACCCAGCCCATCCCTCTGATCCTATGTGTCCCCGATGCACCTACCTCTTCACACTCCTCTGGGGACACCCAAGCCCTCCAGCCCATGGACCGAATGAATTGGAACCACAGTTTGTGGAACATGGGGTGCTGGGCATAGCTCTTCCCATAGAGGAAATAGAAAATGTCTTGTTTAGGGATCTGGTAGTCCTCCTCCACATCACTGACCAGGTATGTGAGGAAGAAATCAGGGTATTGTGAGGGGTTCAACAAAGGAAGATCCAGAAGGGAAGTTGGGTAGCCATCCCACTTGGGATTGCATCAACGCTGCCCAGAGTAATGAAGGACCAGCCCTTCCTGAGAGCCCATTGTAGACAGAGGCCATTGGAAGTTGTCTCACATGGAGCTGATGAAGTCAAGGCCATCTACAGAGTCTAGAACTGTTTTGTAACTCTAGTTAAGAGTTGACCTCATGGTTTCCCTGTCTCCATCTTTTCCCTCTTCCCTGGACTTGTGCTGTGTGTACACCTGTCTCCCCTATCAGGGTAAGTGTTGGAGCCCCTGGAACTGGAGTTACAGATGCTTGTGAGTTGCCAAGTTCAGTTGCTGGGAACTGAACCTGAGCCCCTTGCAAGAGCAGCAAGTGCTCTTAACTGTTAAGCCATGTCTCCACCCCCACCCCCCATACACATCTTAAACATTTCTTAAAGATTTTTTAAAAACTTTATGTATCTGTGTGTTTGTCTATATAAGTGCATGACACATGTGTGCAGCCTGGACTCTAGAAGAGGACATCAGATCCCCTGGTGCTGGAGTTACAGGCAGTTGTGACCCTCCATGCAGATGCTGGGAACCAAAACTGGGTGCTCTGGAAGAGCAAGAAGCACTCTTAACCTCTGAGCCATCTCTCCAGCTTGTTGTGTGTGTGTGTGTGTGTGTGTGTGTGTGTGTGTGTGTGTGCGTGTGAGGATGTGTGCAGGTGTATAAGTGACAGCATACATATGAGCCTAGAGGTTAACTTCAGGGGTTGCTCCAAGGAGTTGTCCACCATCTTCTTTCACACAGGGCCTCTCATTGGGATATGAGGCTTGTCAGTGAGTCTAGGGTTGCTGGTGAGTGAGCCCCAGGGACCCTCCCACCTCTTCCTCCACAGCATTGGGATTTCAATAACGTTCCATGACGTCTGGCTTTTTATATAGGTTCTAGGGATCAGAACTCAGGGCCTCATGCTTATATGGTCAACGCCTTATTAACTGAGCCACCTCTCAGCTCATTGTTCAGTTTTTTAACTGACATAAGCTTGTTTGTCCTTATAAAGGTACAAAGAGAGGTATATAATAGATGACAGGTCAGAGGCCCACTTCTCAAGACAACTCCCTAGAGCACAGAATAGTGACCAACAGAAAGAGGCAAAATACTCACAGAGCCAGGAAGAAATGGATTGGCTTACACTGCCTGCAGAAGAGGCCAGTGCAACTGAAATAAGCTATTACCACAGACAGGAGGTACTGATGGAAAAAGAAAAGAGAAGTCACACCCTGGAGAGGAAGGACGGGAACAGAGGAAGGGGAGGCTGGAGTGGGAATGTGGCTCAGAGAGGAGCCTGCAGTTTTGGGTGGCTTCCTGGTATGGGGGAGGGTTGAAGGGCATCTGAGGTAAACCAAGTCAGAGAGAGGAGGCCCTTGTTGCCCTAGTATGGCCAGCTCTAAGGTCAGTTCCCAGGGATGGTTTAGGACAAACGTACAAGGTAGTCTTTGCACAGCTGGAGCAAAAAGTCCTAGAGAACTTCGGGGAGATGAGAGGAACCAGACAGTTCAGACAGCAAAGAGGCATTCTCAGGGTAAGTCAATGACCTTGACCTCAGATCCAAAAGAGTACTAGCCAGGCAAGGCCCCTGTCCACTCAGGAAGGCACTGCCAGGCCCTGAATGCAGACACTGGCAGGTCACCAAGGCCAAGGACTGTAACATCAGGTGGAGCCATGGAGGGACAAAGGTGTGGAGCACAGCTCAGCTCAGCCCAAAACTCCTCACCTTGTCAGACACCTTCAGGGTCTTGTCCCAGTCCAGGAACCTTGTCATCACCAGACCTTCTGTGAACAAAGCACACGTGTTAAGAGTGAGAATAGGAACAACTTATGAATGAAAGCCAGGAGAGCCCACCTCCCTGGGGAAGGTCATCCCAGTGCCCAAGGTTCATCCCAGGAGCAGACAGAGAAGAAGGTGCCTTGGGCAAGGGACAGCGACCCTGCCAGAGATTGCCAGGAAGTGGCACCGAGGGAGATTTAGAGCATCAGTAGCATATACAAACATTTAAGATGCTTTTCATGTCTATGTGGTTCTGGGATCAACCCAGGATCTTGCACATGCTAACAAGCACTTCACCATTGACCTACATACCCATCCCTGGACTAAGATGCATTGACAAACTGTGATGTCTCCTCACTGCAGTTAATGTCCTATGTCACAGATCAGAAGATATTCTGAGGATGCTTCCATTTGATGTCATCTATGTGTAAACACGGCCCATGTGCAGGTGAAGATACCCCAGTTTGCAAAGTCAGAAGAGCAGCATTAGAGAGGGGATGCTGGACACCAAGCTTTATTATCCCTATGTGGACCTTAGTCAAGTCTAGCTTAAACCCTTGTCACCTATGTGTCCTCAAGACCTGGAGCTCTCAGGGCTACCAGGGCAGTTTTTCCAAGGGGAAGTGGGATGAGTGGACGTGCCTCCTTTTTCTCAGGAATGGGACAGGAGAGCCCTGAGCAGGTGTCCCCTACCCAGCAGTGTGATGAAGACCTTGTGGTCCTCAGGGAGCACTGTGGACACACACTGTTTCTTGAGCTTCATCCTAAGTCCTCAGAGTGCCTCCACCACCCACACTGGCTGGGGCTCAGGGGTCAGCAGCTCTGCCAGGTCATCCTCAAAGTTCAATAATCAATCTCTCTTCCTCTTCTGGCAGGTGGATGGGGGGAGTCTGACCTCCTCTCTTGGTTCTGAGTGAAGAAACCCTATCCCAGTGTGAATCTTTCCCTTTGACGACATCAGCTCAGCACCAGTGAACCCCAAAGCAACACCATTCAACTGTTGCCTGTTCCAACCACAATGCAATTTCCCCCATTGCTGATATCCAGCTCTCCCCTTACCTTGTTCCTGTCCCCTCCACTGTTTCTCAAAACTTTCCTTATCATAGACACCTTGTCTCCAACAGGATGAAAGATTGAAGGAGCGCTCTGAGATGTTGACAACTGCACTGTCTACTACTATGGAGCATGCCCCCTCCAATCAGGAGAGTGGAAGCCTGCGATGTCATCAGCCTTCCAACCTGGCAACCAGTTTGAAAGAAAACACGTGTAACTGAGAGATTGATGTGCCCACTAGTTCTGAGGCTAGAGGTCATGTCTCTGCCTCTGACCTTAACTTCAGTTCCAGGGGATCTGATGACCTCTTCTGTCTTCTGTGGGCACTGCACAACATGGGTGCATTAACACACATTCAGGCATTACACTCATACACATAAAATAAATTTCAAAAATTTTAAAAATAATTTCCCTAAATATTGGAAATAATACTTTTAGAAAACCAAACTGAGAGAAGAGAGAAAGAAAGAGAGAGAGACTGAGAAAGCCTAGCTCACTGTCCAGATTAGAGTCATTAAGTATTGGGAACCCTGGAGAAGCCAGTAGTGTCCCTGAGTGGAAGGAGCTTAGTTGTGTCTCCAAGGAGACACAGAGATGAAAGGTCACAGGGCAGCTGAGAAAGAAGTGAGAGGCAGTGGACACCCAGCCCTTCACTGACAACACACAATGACAGGATAAGATAACAGCCATGGGGCTGGGGATTTAGGTCGACATCCACTCCTTCACTACATAGTTGCCAAGATACTTGCACATGGCTTCCACCCTCTCCTGGACACAGGAAAGTATGCGGGGAGATGTCTACAAGAGGTCTGATCATGGCTCATCTCATTGCCATGTTTAAATTTTAATTATCGCATGTATGTGTGTGGTATGCATGCGTTGTGTGTGCTCATATTGTATGGATATATGTGTGTGCCCATGCACATGGAGTCCAGAAGTCAACCTCAGTTCTTCCTCAGTTGCTCTCCACCTTATTTTAAAGTTATTTAATTAATAACTAATTAATTAATGTTCTTGAGACAAGGTGTCACTGTGCACCTCTAGCTGGCCTGGGACTTGCTTTGTAGATCCAGTTGTCCTGGAACTCATAGAGATTCACCTGCCTCTGCTTCCGAAGTGCTGGGTTTAAAGACATGTACCACCATGCCCAACATTATTTTTTAAACATTTTTTAATTTGTTTTATTTTGCATGAGGGTGGAGTGGGCACATGCAGAAGTCAGAGGACAACCACTGGAGTCACTTCTCTCCTTCCACTATGTGGGTTCCAGGAGTCGAACTCAGATTGTCAGGCTTGGCAACAGGCTCCTTTACCCACTGATCCAGCTCGCCAGCACTCCACCTGTTTTTTTTTAAATATTTTATTTATTACTTTTATTTTATGTGTATGCATGTATTGCCTGCATGTAGGTAAGTGCACCCATGTCGTGTAATGCATGCGGAGGACAGAAAGCTGTCGGATCCCCTGGAACTGGAGTTACAGACAGTTGTTAACTGCCATGTGGGTGCTAGGATGTGAATCCAGGTCTTCTGCAAGAACAACCAGTGTTCTTAACCTCTGAGCCATCTCTCCAGCCCCTCTACCTGTTGTTTTGAGTCAAGGTCTTTCATTGAACCTGGAGCTCACTGATTTGGCTAGACTAGCTGACTAGAAAGTTCGGGGGATCTTGCTGTCTTCACCTGCCCAGTGCTGAGATTACAGGCTGAAAGCACCACACATACTTTTTTAAAAAAATACAGGGTCTGTGGCTCTGGACTCAGGTCCTCATGCTTATGTAACAAATACTTTACCCACTGAGCCATTCTCCTTAGCCCCTTGCCACCACTGCTCTACTGGTGACAATATAGATGTAGCTACCTCCCAGCAGCCACACAAGTTCACATTTTTTTGTGTGTGTGCAGAATGAGTTCCTACAGCAGATGGACTGAGGGGCAAAAGGAGTCAGGACGGTTGTGCACCTGCAGGTTGGAAGGACCAGTATTTAATACCAAAGAAGGCAGTTTTAGATGACATGGCACACAGAGGTGAGTTCCAGGACCAGGCAATCCATGGGATGACGATTTCATTCATGGCACTGATGCTGTTCTAAATTAGAACAGCGTGGAGGGGAAGGGATGTGAGGGTCAGGGACTGATGTGACAGCATTCCATACAGGGCTGGCATAGCACATGGGGGTCAGGGAGTTCACACATTCCTAACCTAAGCCAGCCACCCAAATGAGATTCAAAATCCAGCTAGACATGATGGTGCACATCAGTACTCCCAACACTTGGGAGACCAAGGCAGAAGGATTGTTGTAAGTTCAAAGCTAGCCTGAGCTACATAGAAAGTGCTAGGCCAGCCAGGGCTATAGTGAGATCCTATCTCAAAAAGAAGAAGGGCGAAGGAGTAGGGCTAGGGAGATGGTTCAACAGGTAAAGCATCTGCTGCAGAAGCATGAGGACCTGAGTTCAATCTCCAGTACCTTCCTTAAAAAAGAAAGCCAGGTGTACAGCATTTACTTAGAATCCTAGTGCTGTGATAGCAGAAACAAGAGGATCCCTGGGGCTCACTGGCCAGCCAGTCTAACTGAATCATCAAGCTCCAGGTTCAGTTAGAACCCTTAGGTCAAAAATGCAATGAGGGACTGGTTAGATGATTCAGTGGATGACTCACTTGCCACCAAGCCCAGCAACCTCAGTTCGGACTTACATGGTGGAAGACGAGAACCAACTCTGACTGCCTCTGACTGCCGCACATCAGACACACACACACACACACACACACACACACACCTTGCAACTCAAATTAGGAGGTTGTAAAACAGAAGGTTTTTGAGTTTTGTTTTGCTTTGGTTTTTTGAGACAGGGGCTCCCTGTACCCCCAGTTGGCCAGGAAATAGCTATGTTCTAGGCTGGCCTCAAACTCACAGAGATCTGTCTGGCTCTGCCTCCCAAGTGCTGGAATTAAAGGTGTGCACCACCACACCTGGCTAAAACAGGAGTTTTGATCAAGACCACAAGTCTATGTGACATCTGTGTAATGAAGATTATTTTCATTCAACAGAGAAAACTACAGTGTAGCAATGTTAGCATTGAGTTCCTACACTGGTACTTGGCAATGTGTGCACATTACAGTGAAGGTATTTCTGCAATAAAAGTTGAATTGGTGCTGGGCATGGTGGCACACATCTTTAATCCCAGCACTCCAGAGGCAGAGGCAGGTGGATCTTTGTGAGTTCAAGGCCAGCCTGGTCTACATAGTGAGTTCCAGGCCAGCTGGGGTTACAGAGAAACCCTGTCTCAAAAAGACTGGGATGGTGGCTCAGTTGTGCTTGCCTAGCAAGCAGGAAGCCAGGCTGTGGTGGTACATGCTTGCAGTTTCAGCCATCAAGAGGAGGATCAAGAGAATCAAACACTCAAGGTCATCCTCTGCTACATAAGGAGTTTAAGACCAGCCTGAGCTACATGGGACCATGTCTCAAATAAACAACCCGAAAGGAGAAATTATCAGTCATATGCTGACACGTGACTAAAGGAACAAAATTAAATAAAATGGTGTGCTATGAAGAAACAAAGAAACAGATGGAAGGCCGGCAGTGTGGCTCAGCTGATAAAGGTGCTTGCCACCAAGTCTGATGATTTGAGTTTGATCCCTGGGACCCACATGGTGAAAGGAAGGAACTGATTACCTCCCATGTAGGGAGTCTGTCTCTTGGTGTGTGGAGTGTTGTTTGTGTTTCAATAAACCTTGGCTGACTGCAAACTTTGCTATTTATCAATGCTTCTCTCTCCTGCAGACTCCTCAGAAGTTCCCCTGTGATTGGTGCTTCAGGGTGGCTCAGTGCCTCTATGACGAACCTCTTCTGCATTTGCATAGAGAATTTTCTGGGTTGGCAGATTTTCTTATTTTGACCATATTGTCATTAAGAATCAACAGGGCAAGAACACTGCATTATTTCAGCAAGAAACTGATAAATCATTGTACCAATTGATAGAATTATGTGAATTGCAGAAGAGCCACAAGCCTCATTAGGGAAAGCCATAAATCCCTTAAAGTATACTCTAACTGGCCCTAAATTAGCAGCCTGGCCTTGTTCAAGCCTTATCAACTGGTCACTCCCTAGACTGAGAGAGGCTGTTTGTGGAGCCCACCTGCCTCTTTTAGTGCTATAGATAACTCACCTGCCTGTCTGAGAAAAGAGATCCTCAAGGACACCAGACCCTGGCATGGAGTTAACTCTTGCAGCTGTGTGCAGCAGAGATCCTATATAAGACCAGACTTCTCCCCATTCAGAGTGCAGACAACCATTCCTCCATGAACAGCTTTTATCAGCCCTTTGCTGGGTTCCCTGTATCCAGGGAGCACATTCCTTGCCTGTTGCAGGTCTGGCTCTGACTCTTATTTCTAAACTTTAAACTCCTTCCTTTTTCCCACCTCCTAAATCTAACACCAATGTTAAGGTTCAGATAGCCCTACCCCCTCACCAACAGGATCCCAAGGACTTCTCATGCTCCTGAGAAAAGGGAACCTAGCTGATAAGCACCTTGGTCTTTGAAGTCAAGAGAAACAGACTTTTCTCCACTGTTTGGCCACCACAGCAGGCTTCCCCTTTGATCTCTAAAGAGAACAGGTTTTAAACAGCCCCACTTTCCCATTTCCTCCCACCCAACTTGAAAAAAAAAAATACATCTTCCCGCCTTCTGCAGGAAGCAGAAGGCTCCCTTTTAAAAGACTCCAGCTCAAGACCAGGGCAGACATTTTCTCTGCCAGGAAGGGAATCTATCCCTTATGTTCCTTTGCTAATAAACCCTAGTTTGATGGAGTTTTATCTGTGTCCTGGTGCCTCCTCCTCCATTCGCTCGTTCTCTGTCAACTTTTTACCTATCAGTACCATTTTTGAAAATTGGCACTGTCGCCTGACTCCACACATCATCTTTGAGAGTTCACAGTTACAGGTATCCATGTTCTTTCTGTATTTTCTGATTGGTTTTAGAGTTTGTATGCAATAGTTGTGTGATCTAGAAAAGCTACCATTCCTGTTTTACTTCCTTGAAAAGCACTGCTGGGCATTTCTTGTACCTACTGTTTGAAAGGAATTTCCAGTGCTTTGGTTAACTGAGCACAACAGACACTTTCCTATTTTAAGACTCAGCCAGGAGAGGACTTAGGACCTACACATAACCCCTGCAGGCTATTTCTTCCAGACTCAAAGGGACTAGGACAAACCGAAGTTGAGCTCCGGGAGGCCATCTCTATCAGCACAGCGCCTCCGAGCTGCTAAGATGAGGTGAGGTCTTGCGCGACGGTCCCTAGACTCGGTGGCGCGTGGACTTCTGGGAGAGAGAGTCTCTGCAGTACTCCTACACCCTAGGCCGTATGGTGGGACACCGCCTTCCAGTGGCTTTTGCACTTGTGCACATCGCGCGTGCGCACTGCCGCCACGACGCCTTGGTTTCCTGCGGGTCCCAGGGTCGCCTACGCCCTTGCTCCCCGGCTTTAATCCCAGCTGAGGCCTGAGCGTCCGGGTCCGCAGTGGGTGGACGCGGCTGTGCTCCGGGGACGCTCGAGCTCGGGGAGCACGGCGCGGACGTCCGGGGCCGGGGACAGAGGTGGCAGGACCTGCCCGGAGCGGCCTCCTCTGCGGCGGCGCGGAGGACGGTAAGGCCCGAGGGCGCAGATCGGCCCAAGAGAAAAACTGGGCCTGGCTTGTCCGCTGGGGGGCGGGGGGAGGGATCTGCGCCTGCGCGAAGCCACCGTTCACCGCTGCCCTCTGCGTGTGGGGCCAGGGAGGATGGCGACCTTGGGGCGACGCTGGACCGCTGCACAGCCTTGAAGGGCTACATGGATGGGCTGTGAGGACGAGGTGTGCGGGAAGGGGGGCCAGCGGCCAAGAGGCCGTCCACACTCCCCCTCCTCCACCGCACACCCCTCACCACCGCTCCAGATTCCCGGGGTGTCTCCCTAAGCATCCATCAGCACCCGTGCTTTCTGCTGGTTCCCTGTCTCTGCCCTGTAAGTTTACAGTGCATTGCAAGAGTGTGTTACCGCCTTGACTGATGGACCAAAACTTTGGGTCTAGAATGGTGGGTGACTTAACCATTTTTTTTTGGTTTGTTGTTAAGAATGCTGAGACGCAAAGTGTCGTCGTCCCCCGCCAAAGTTCCCATTTTTGTTGTTGTTTTCAATGACCAAGCTTAGTTGGATAGTTTGAGAACACATTTCCAGTTATGCTTTATTCCCGTTAGTTTGTCGTTTGTCCATGCCCCTCACCCCATTTCCTTTTCTCTTTTATGTTTTTTGTTTTTGAGACAGGACCTGCTGTGTTACCCATGCAATTCTGGACTCAGCAGTCCTGGAGTGCAGTGGTTGCATGTGTATGCCACCTATCGCAGCATCAGTCTCAAATTTGAGAGCTCAGATTCTTCTTTTTTTTTAATTTATTATTTTTATGTGTGTGCATGTATTGCCTGCTTGTAGGTAAGTGCACCCGTGTCGTGCAATGTCCGCGGAGGTCAAAAGAGGTTGTTGGATCTCCTGGGACAGTTGTTAGCTGCCATGTGGGTGCTGGGATTCAAACCCGGGTCTTCTGCAAGAAGAAGTAGGGTTCTTAACCGCTGAGTCATCTCTCCAGCCCCAAGAGCTCGGATTCTTAATTCTTAGGGCATCTTTGATTTTAAACAAATTGAATAGGTAACCTTTTGGGTTTTGCTCTTTTTTATACTTTGCATTTTATGGTGGCCGACTGGAAAGGGGAGCATTGTTTATACTGATCCCTGAAAGTGTAGCCTAATTACTACCTGATTGCATAGGAGTTAGATGTGCTTCCTTCCTGTCACCCATGTTACCTCTTCAGAGTGTTCACTGACTGTGCTTTCATCTGGTGATTCTCAGGCAAGAGGTGGGTCCTTGGGCAGGCCAGATAATGCCTGACTTCAGTGACCTTGTCATCCCATAGATCCACCATCAACTGTCTACACTTTCCCACGATCAGCAGAAAATGAGTAGATCGCAGGTGAGTGTCTCCTGTTATGGATATTTTCTCTCTTCTTTGTAATGAATTTTAGGAGGCCTTTAAGGATCTGTACTTTAGAATGGTTATGTAAGAGTAAGAAAGGAGATTATCATAAAATCAGCCTGAGTGACAGATGGTCAGGGTCATACATGTAGGCAGTGTGTTCACCTTAAGTCAATGAAGAAGCTTCCATTATGATTGGTTCTTGATAGTCTTAGAAAAAGGAAAAGAATATCCATTGCATCACCTGCAACTACTATTAGAAGATTTTTTTCCCAAAGATTTATATATTTTTATTTTATGTGTATGAGCAGCATTTACCTGCATGTGTATGTACACCACATGTGTAGTACCAGCAGAGACCAGAAGAAGGCATTGGAACCCCTGGAACTGGAGTTATAGAGGGTTGTGAGCTACCATGTGGGTGCTGGGAACCAAGCTTGGGTCCACTTCAGGAGCAGTAAGTGCTCTTAACCTTTGAACCATCTCTTCAACCCTAGAAGACATTTTTGTTACTTATGGATATTGACGATTTCCTAGGACTTGGAAATTTTCTTTGAGTTGATAAGATACAGATAGCTTTCTTGAGGTCATTTCCTTGTTACATCTGTAAGCAGAAGTCCAGCTGCCCAAGGAGAACTTGATACATAATTATAATTGATTTTTTGTGTATGAGTGTTTTGCCTGCATGTGTATATGTGTAGCACCTGTGTGCACTGCTCACAGAGGCCAGATAGGGTATCAGATCCCCTGGAACTGAGGTTAATGGACAGTTGTTAACTACCATGTGAATGCAGGGAACCAAACCAAGGTCTTCTGCAAAAGCAGCCAGTGTTCTAAACCTCTGAGCCATTTCTCTAGCCCTACATAATTTTCTTATGTATATTAATGTTTTGCCTACATGTATATATGTGCTTCATATGCATGCCTGGTGTCTGCCACATTGGGTCCCCTGAACTGGAGTTACAAATTGTTGTGAGACACTGTGTTAGTGCTGGGAACTGAACCCATATCTTCTGCATAGGAGTAAGTCCTCCTCACTGCTGAGCCATCTCCCCAGGCCTCCATAAAATGTTTCTAGGGAACAGAGTGTTGAATATATCCAAGGTGATATATCCCTATTTTTACTTTTTAATTCCAGGAATAAGGTCCAGACTATATATTGCAGTCAGTTGATAATAGACTCTTGAATGTATTTATTTATTTATTTATTTACTTATTTATTTATTTTTATGTGTACGAATGTTTTGCCTGCATATATGTGTACTTGTATCATGCAGTGACAGTGGAGGCCAGCAGAGGGTGTCATACATCCTGGAACTGGAGTTCCAGGAACTGGAACTGCCATGTGGGTGCTGGGGATCCTCTGTAAGAGATGGAGTGCTAAGAGTACCATAAAAGTCTTTTCATAGTAGTTCCCTTAGTATACCTCTTGTGGTTTTTTTGTTTTTTTTTTTTTCTCCCTACTTATGTTTTTACAGAATCTGGGTACTTTATCTTGGTTTCCCAGTTTGGAATGTATTGCCCTAGTTTTACCTTTAATGCATTTTTTAAATTCTTTGTGTGCCTTGGTAAAATTTATAGTTTGATCAGAAAGGTTAATTGGATCAATTATGTCAATTCTTTTTTGGTAAATTTTGAAACAGTGTCTCATGTAGTCCAGGCTGGCCTCCAGCATGCTATGTAGCCTGAGGATTCCCTTAAACTCCTGATCCTCCTGCCCCACTTCCCAAGTTCTTGGATCACAGGTGTGCACCACCACTACCAGCTTGTCCATTCTTTTGGCAAGACTGTTGTCTTGTTACTTTTCTTGTTTCAGCGATAAAGTACCTTGCCAAAAGCTACTTAAGGGAGAAAGTGTTTCTTTTGGCTCACTGTTCATATACTGGGGAAGGCAGCAGAAGCTGAGGGGAACTGATAACATCTTCAGAGTCAGGAAGCAGAAAGAGATGAATGCATGCTGCTGCTTAGCTCCCTTCTCCACTTGTGTAGTCCAGGATCCCAGCCAGGGACTGCCCCCGCCCTCAGTGGGCAGGTCTTCCCACCTCAGTTAACACAATCAACCGTCTGTCTCCCAGAATCTAGATTCTTTCAAGTTGACAGTTAACACTAACCATCATAACTGTTGTACATAGCGTTTGTGCATTTTCTTTTAGAAGCATCTATTATACACCTGTTTTTGTTGGTGTAAGGTTAGCATCTACTCAGCGATGATCATTTTCACAATCCTCAAATTTCCTAGGAAGGCGGAATGGTAATTCATTGATTTCTTCTTTATTTACCAGCTAGAATACTTTTCTGAAAGTCCAGAAGGTAAGATACAAGTTCAAGACCTTCCTGGGTAATTTAGATGACCATATCTAAAACTAAAAATACAAAAAAGCATGGGTAATGCTTGGGTTCAACATGTAGTATTGTGTACACATGTGTGTGCAGACACAATAAATAAATAAATAAATAAATGTTAAAAAAATAAAGTTTTATACTGTAAATCATAAAGTACTTACTAAAATGACAGCACTGTTACAACTTAGGATATAAAAAATAGTATCACAAAAAAATAACTAAGGGTTTGAGGATGTCGCTCAGTGGTAGAGCCCTTGAGTAGCATGCATGAAGCTCTGGATACCAGCACTGCAAACAGCAGCAATCACAGTACATGTAAATGGCCTAAATACTCTACTTAAAAAGCATGGAGTGAATAAGAGCTGGAAAGATGGCCCAGTGGATAATGGCACTCACCGCCAAGCCTGATGACCTGAGTTCTGTCCGAGACCCACGTGATAGAAAGAATCAACCCCTAAAAATTATCCTCTGACCTCCACTCAAGCACTATGGCATGCATGACTTCCCCTCCCTCAACACAAAACAAGTAAATTTAATAGAGTGAATAAAAAAGTAGGGCCTAACTATATGCTGCATACAGGGAATGCACAGAAACATTTTTAAATTTTTTATTCATATGTATATGCATATATTGCACGCATGTATGAAGGTCATAGGACAACTTGTGGGAGCCAGTTCTTTCCTTCTACCATGTAGGTCCCAGGCATCAAACTTGGGTCATCAGGCATGTGTGGCAACTGCCTTTACCTACTGAGCCGTCTCAATGGCTTTATCATGTCAACATTACTAAAGAGAAAGCCAGAGTGACTTCAGAAATAATAGTTTGCACTGCACAGCACCAGACATAAGAAAAGCCACTTCTCAGTGGCAAGGTGATTACTTAATAAAGAGGGCATAGGTGCTTGAGGGATTTTATTTGGTCTTTTTTAGGGAATCCAACCCAGAAGAGAATTTTACATGGTATTATAGACAGGCCAAACAATCTTGAGAGTCCGTGTACCTAATAAAACACAAGAAGCAAAAAACAAAAGAACTGCAGAGAAACAGGTGAAACTACAGCTTTTACTTCCTCCCTCACAGACAACAGGATACAACAGAAAATTGCATATATAGTACAATTGAGAATTGAAGGATAAATCCAGTTCCTGTTCATCTGTCATTGCTGAGACCAGAAGTCCGTAGTCCTCATGTCAACATTTTGAGTCATTGTTAGAAAGCCACATGAAGGTTACAAAGAAAGTCCCCTCCCCCCTCATATGGCTTCATTTTACATTTAGATCCTTGATCTAGTTGGTGTTCATTCTCTGGTGGTGTGAGGCCTAGGGGCAACTCTATCCATTTCCAGATGGCTATATCTTAACTCATAGCCTTGTGTCACTACAGCAAAATACCAGAGACAGCTAACTTAGAGAGAGATAGTAATTTAGTTCACAGTTTTAGGGGTCCACCAGTATGACACTGATAGCAGTCTACTTGACTGTATCACATTATGGATCATGGTAGAGGAGTGTCTGACCAGACAGGAAAAAAGAGACTGGTACCCACTGTCATTTCTTAGGGCACATCCTCAACAGGCTAAGGACCTCTGCCTGGGTTCCACCCTTCAAGGTCTCACCAGGTCCTAACAATGTCACCTTTGGAACCAAGACTTTAATCACAATGGCCTATTGGAGACCTTTTAAACCACACCCAAGCCATAGTAGTGTTTGTTAGAAGTCAGTTCTGCAGAGGATGTAGCTCAGGGATAGGGCATTTGCCTAACATGTGCAATACCAGTGCCTCCCCTCCAAAAATAAATAAGTAGTTTGAGGTGGTGTCCCCATTACCATATAGTAATGAAGTTCCACTTGCAGATTTTGTTTGCCTTTTTACTTGTCTGTATTCATGTATCAGAAAAAAACTTGAAGATATTTGATTCTGATATTAAATCTAGGGCCTTGGGTATACTAAGCATACACTGTGCCTCTGACCTACACCCCTGTTCTACAAAACGATTTAAATCATAGAGAGTCACATTTATAATCTTGTAGTATTATCCTTCCCCCTACATAACTACTCCCCAGTACTGGGGCTTGAACAAAGGGCCTCACATGTGCTAGACAAGTACAGTTAACCACTGAGGTATATTCCCAGCCCTTGGTTTTGCTTTTTTGTTTTTTTGGGAACAGAATCTTGCTATGTATCCCAGGCTGACCTTGAGCTCATGATCCTCCTGCTTCAGCCTCCCAAGTGCTGAGATCACGTGTATGTGTTACCATGCCCAGCTCATCTTGTTTTATTTTGTAAAATAGAAACTCACTATGTAACCCACACTTGCCTCCCCTCCCAAGTTTCTGGGATTACAGGTGTGCAATGCCACTCCCAGCTGTGTGTGTTAATTTTATGGTTGTGTTATCTAGCAATTGTTGGGTTGGTTTCCTTGAGTCTCTAAATTTTCATTTCATCTGCTTCTGATTTTTCATTTCATCCATTTCTGATTTTAATGTTAATATATGTACTTAACCATTAAGTAAAATCCTGACTCAAGTACTCAAAGGACTGACATGAAATGTGAACATTTAGGTATATACAGAAACTTAAATTGTGTACACTTGAGCATGATATATAGACATGTACATATCATATATGCAGGTGTGTACATGTCACCTATGCATACTATGGTTTAAGGATGCACATGTGTGTATATGCACATATGTTGTTAATAATAAAGTATCCATCAGTTTGTTTTCTACAGTTCTTAAAACTAGGTGTACATTTTGAATATATTTTGTATATTTTTCAAGTGTCTTTGGAGACAGAAGGGTTTTCTTCTTAGCTGTAATGGTATATGCCATTCATGGTTTTCCAGATGTTAAAATAATTTGTTTGAGGCAGGCAGATCTCTGTGAGTTCCAGGACAGCTGGGGCTACAGGGAGACCCTGTCTCAAAAAGGCCAAAAATAAAAATAAAAAATGAGTCCTGTGCTGGGGAATGCACCTCAGTGGTAGAGTGCCTGATTAGCATAATGAGCATAATGTCCTATTTGGCTATTGTGTGTGTGTGTGTGTGTATGCTGTTACTGGATTTTCCTTGTTGATATTTTATTTTGAAGGCTGTTTATATGGAAAGAAGTATAGAACTTTATGTTCCTTACTGACAGACCAGTCTTCTAACCCTGCGTAACACCCTTGCCTTCTGAACTGACTTACTCGAAAAGTTATTATCTGCTCTATATGAACTTATCAGCTCATTTCTTGCCTGTGGATAGATAGACTTGGATGGTGTGCTCCAGTGACAGTTCTGCCTTTACTATATCAAGGAGTCTCAGTCTAGTAACCTACAAACATCAGTGTTTTATGGAAACTATTCTTAGGTGTAAATTGTCTTGCCTTTCTGAAAGTGGCTTTATAGTATTCTTATGTTTAAAACATAATTTGTTGCCAGCATAGTGGCACACGCCTTTAATCCCAGCATTTGGGAAGCAGAGGTAGGAGGATCTCTATGAGTTTGAGGCCAGCCTGGCCTATATAGCAAGTTCTAGGCCCTGTCAATCATTCATTCAATCAATCAATCAATCAATCAATAGTTTGTCTTGCTGTACAGTTCTGTGTTCTAAATCCTTTCAACCTTGTGAGCAGCCTCCTTTGTTTTCTTTTTTTTTAATTTTCATTTCTTTTTTTTTTCTTTTTTTTTTGTCTTTTTGAGACAGGGTCTCCCCGTAGCCCCAGCTATCCTGGAACTCACTATGTAGACCGGGCTGACCTTGAATTCACAGAGATCCGCCTGCCTCTGCCTCCCAAGTGCTGGGATTAAAGGTGTGCACCACCACGCCCAGCTTTTCTGGCTTTTTTGAAAACTTTTTGAAATTTATTTTTATTTATGTGTATGAGTGTTTTGCTTACAGGTATATATGTGCACCATGTATGTGCCTGATAGCTGAGGAGTTCAGAAAAGGATATTGGACCCCTGGAACTGCAGTTAGAGAACTTGTGAGCCCCCATGTATATGCTGGGAGCTGAAGCCAGGTCCTCTGCAAGAGTAACAAGTACTCTTAACTGCTGATCCGTCTCTCTATCACCTTTTTTGGGGAGAAAAAAAAATTTTTTTAATTATGTGTGGGTATGTGTGAGTGTAGTTTAGTTTCCCATGGAGGCCAGAAGATGGTGTTGTATCCCTTGAAGCTGGAATTACAGCTTTAGATATTTTATCAGGTAGTTGCTGGATCTCCAAATTTTTTTTCCCTAATATTCTCTTTATTTTTAACTGTTTTGGCACTTGTGTGGAGGTAGGAGCTGTTCTGTTGACACAAGGCCCATGTAGCCCAGCTGATCTTGAACTTACTCTGCAGCCCAACTGGCTTTGAATTCTTTTTTTTTTTTAATGTTTTTTTATTTATTAATTTTATGTGTATGAGTGTATTGCCTGCATGTATGTTAGTGCACCTGTGTCATGCAGTGGTCAGAAGAGGGCTTCAGATTCCCCTGGAACTGGAGTTAAGGATGGTTCGTAGCCACCATGTGGGTGCTAGGAATCGAACCTGGGTCCTCCGCAAGAGCAGTCAATGCTCTTAACCGCTGAGCCATCTCTCCAGCTCCTTGGCTTTGAATTCTTAAGTCTATTTGCCTCTAGGATAGTGCTGGGATTTTTTTAGGCATGTGCTCCGATGCCTGGCTTTTCTTGAGGATTTTTAAAAACAGCTCAACAGTTCAGTGTCTTAAGTTCTAAATATTCTCCAATGATTGTTTCTTAGCAGAATGCTCTCATTTTATTGGAAGCAATATCTTAATTTATAAAAAAAACAAAAATATGAATCAGTGGGCCAGCAAGATGACTCAGTGGGTAAAAGCACTTTCCATAAGTACCTGATGACCTGAGTTTGTTTCTGAAACCCATGTCAAGGTAGAAGGAAAGAACTAGGCCCACAAAGTTGTCCTCTAGCCTCCGTACATAGGTCCTCTGCTGTCTCTGTCAGTACTGCCAGAACCACAGAATCTCAACAGACTCAGCTGTCTGTAGGTGTTTGGTTTCATTTCCTGTTGCTATGGTAGAATGCTTTGATGAGAGAAACCTGATGAAGAAAGGCCTTATTTGGCTCACAATTCCAGATGGCAGTCCATCATTGTAGGGAAATCAAGGCAGCAGGAACTGGAAGCAGCTAGTCATGTTATATCCATAGTCAGGAGCAGACAGCAGTGAATTAAATGCATGCATGCTAGTGCTCAGCTAACTTTTTTCAGTTTTACATAATCCAGGATTCTCTGCCCACACTGTTCAGGTTGTTGTACCTCAGTTAACATAATCAAGATAATCCCTCACAGGCCAACCTATTTAAGACAGTCCCTTATTGCAGCTCCCCAGGTGATTCTAGATTATGTCAAGTAGACAATGAAAACTAGCAGTCACAGTAGGGTTTAATTTTTGTTTTTGTTTCTCAAAAACAGCATATTTACAATATGGTTTGTTTTCCTTGTTTTCCTGGAAACATAAAACAAGCTGTACAATGTTAATGGTTACCTGTGCCAGTGAGCTTGGCATGTACCTTTTCTGTTTTCTCCCTACTCATCACAATGCCATTTGCAGGGGCCAGTGTCATTCAAGGATGTGGCTGTGGACTTTACCCAGGAGGAGTGGCAGCAGCTGGACTCTGAGGAGAAAATCACATACAGGGATGTGATGCTGGAGAACTATAGTAACCTTGTCTCTGTGGGTGAGGACCACATGCTTTCTAAATACTGTCAGTTTAACATTTTGTCCTTTAGTTTGAAGGAACAAGTACTAAGAGTCTTTCAATCACTTTAAGCAGACATGGAGTGTATCTTTACTGCTCTTTGAAAGAGTCTACTTGCTTTGCCTTGGGGTACTGGATATTGAACCCAGAGCCTCCTGCAAATTAGGCAAGTGCTCTACCTCTTAGCTACATCCCTATCCCTGAAAGAGTCTTCTTTTAATTAGGCAAGATTCGGAGCATTATATAGCTTGTGAGGCAGCATCCTCTTACAGTGGTTCTACCGCCAGCCAATTAGTACAGACCTTCTCCATTTCTTATTAACAGGATATGGTATTATCAAACCAAATGTGATCATTAAGTTGGAGCAGGGAGAAGAACCATGGACAGTGGAAGGCAGCCTCTCCTCTCAGAGTCACCTGAGTAAGTGAATATAGTGTGAAATCTTAAAAAGTGTCACCACAATTAGTATTGTAGGAGATTTCATAACTTAATGTTTGGAACCAGATGAACTCCAAGAATATGAGTATGGAAACTCGTTTTTATAATCAGAAAATTTAAAAGTACTATGATAATGGGAGGTATAACTGGTGTGGGATAAATTTAAGTCAACAAATTAAAAAAATTAATGGCTACAAATAGCGTTTGCTTTTTGTCACAGACTCTTTAATCCCTGGTTCTGGTACTTTCCCTCTTTAAACAGGAGATTTTAGAATGTTTGCATTTACTGGGGGCTAGAGAGATGGCTCAGAGGTTAAGAGCACTGACTACTCTTCCAGAGGACCCAGGTTCAGTTCCCAGCACCTACATAGTGGCTAACACCCATCCATAACTCCAGTTCCAGGGGATTCAGTTTCCTCTTATGACTGCTGCAGGTTTGCACAACACAGATATACTTACATACATGCAGGTCATACAAGCATACACACATAATATAAAAACAAATACATATTTATATAAAGAATGTTTGCATTTATTACATGCATGGTAGAAAAACAAAGCTTTCACTGGCCTTGTGAAAGCTCAGGTCTGTAGTCTCAGCACTCCAGGTGAGGCTGAAGAATGTCTGCAAGTGTGAAGCAAGCCTGGTCTACATAGCAGGACCCTGTTTCAAATGAACACTTAAAGGCAAAGGTTTCAGAAGTGTCTAGAACAGTACTCCTATTGTGCAGTGGTGCCATTTAATAGAAATAGTAATCTATTTCTTCTAAATGAAGTCCATATTTGAACATTCTATTTACTTATGTCCAGTAATTGTTCTCCGTTGATCCCTTTTCCTGTAGGTCCTCCCACTTCTGTCTGGGTCTCACTCCTTTTCCTGTGGATCCTCCCACTTCTGTCTGGGTCTCACTCCTTTTCCTCTGGGTCCTCCCACTTCTGTCTGGGTCTCACTCCTTTTCCTCTGGGTCCTCCCACTTCTGTCTGGGTCTCACTTCTTTTCCTGTGGGTCCTCCCACTTCTGTCTGGGTCTCACTCCTTTTCCTCTGGGTCCTCCCACTTCTGTCTGGGTCTCACTCCTTTTCAGTAACTTTGTTCTTTGCTCAACATTTCTTAGACCAGTTTCGTGGTTTCTGTCAAAATTGTAGAGATAATATTTGTAAGTAATTAAGTCCTTTTTCAGCGTGTATTCACTCTCCCTCTTCTCACTATTCTTACCCATGTACGTATTTTGTATTAGAAATTAAAGGCCAAAAAGACGCATACACTCACAATTTCCACACATGGAGATTTACTATAAAGCCAGATTCAGCCCCACAAATACGGTTTTTAGGCCCCACTCTCCTGTAGCTTATGTATTCACATTAACAAGATTTGTTCAATCTTATCCTTTTCAGAAATCTGTAAAGTTGATGACTCATTAGGAAGAATCCAAGAAAATGAAGACAAATGTACAAGGCAAGAGGATGATCTCAACAGTCAAAAAGCAGAAAGAGGGATTATATTTGAGAAAACTTACAACCTAGAACCACCTCTCTTTTCTTTGAACACCAGAGCTCACAATTGTGTCTCCTGTGGGAAGACTTCGGAATCTATTCCAGAATTAATTAGTAGTGACGGAAGCTATGCAAAAGAGAAACCCAGTGAGTGTATTGAGTGTGAGAAATCATATGGAGAGAAACCCTATGAATTTGATCAAAATGAGAATTCTTGTTCTCAACATGATCAAGGTATTCTACAGAAAATCACCATTTTGGAGAAGCCCTTTGAGTATGAGTGCATCGAAGCCTTAGACAGTAAAGCTGTCTTCATGGCTCATGGGAGAGCGTACATGGAAGATAAATCCTATGAATGGAATGATTCAGGCCCAGACTTCATCCAGATGTCAAATTTCAATGAGTATCAGAGCTCACAAATGGAAATGAAGCCCTTTGAATGTACAGAATGTGGGAAATCCTTCTGTAAAAAGTCCAAATTCATCGTACATCAGAGAGCTCACACAGGAGAAAGACCATATGCATGTAATGTGTGTGGAAAGTCCTTCAGTCAAAAGGGAACCCTCACTGTACATCGGAGATCACACTTAGAGGAGAAACCTTACAAGTGTAATGAATGTGGGAAAACCTTCTGTCAAAAGTTACACCTCACACAGCATCTGAGAACTCATTCAGGAGAGAAGCCCTATGAATGTAATGAGTGTGGGAAAACTTTCTGCCAAAAGACACATCTCACTCTACACCAGAGAAATCATTCTGGAGAGAGGCCCTATCCATGCAATGAATGTGGGAAATCCTTTTCCCGCAAGTCAGCCCTCAGTGACCATCAGAGAACACACACAGGAGAGAAGCTTTATAAATGTAATGAGTGTGGGAAATCCTACTCCCGAAAGTCCACTCTAATCACACATCAGAGAACACACACAGGAGAGAAGCCCTATCAGTGTAGTGAGTGTGGAAAATTCTTTTCTCGGGTGTCATACCTCACCATACACTACAGGAGCCATTTAGAAGAAAAGCCCTATGAATGCACAGAATGTGGTAAGACCTTCAATCTAAATTCAGCTTTTATTAGGCATCGTAAGGTACACACAGAAGAGAGACTCCATGAGTGTAGTGAATGTGGGAAGTTCTCTCAACTGGCGTATCTCCCTGACCACACAAATGATTTAGGAGAAAAACCCTATGAATGTAATGAGTGTGGGAAAACGTTCCTTGAAAATTCAACCTTCAGTGTGCACCAGTCCATTCCAGAAGGGGAAAAAACTTATGAATGTAATATATGTGGGAAGTCATTCACTGATTTGTCATGCTACACTGTACATTACAGAGGTCATGCAGAAGACAAACCATTTGGGTGTAATGAATGTGGGAAAACCTTCTCTCATAATTCATCCCTCTTTAGACATCAAAGAGTACACACAGGTGAGAAGCCCTATGAATGTTATGAATGTGGGAAATTCTTCTCTCAGAAGTCATATCTCACTATTCATCACCGGATTCATTCAGGAGAAAAACCCTATGAATGTAGCAAGTGTGGGAAAGTCTTCTCTCGGATGTCAAACCTCACTGTACACTACAGAAGCCATTCAGGAGAGAAACCCTATGAATGTAATGAATGTGGGAAAGTCTTTTCTCAGAAATCATACCTCACTGTACATTACAGAACTCATTCAGGAGAGAAACCTTATGAATGTAATGAATGTGGGAAAAAATTCCACCACAGATCAGCCTTCAATAGCCATCAGAGAATTCATAAAAGAGGGAATATAAATGTACTCAATGTAGAAAATCTCTGAGGTCTTAATTTTTCTGTAACCATTAGGTTATAATGAATATCAGAAATCCAATATGAAGTCAAGTATGGGTTTTTTGTTTTTCTTTTTTTCAATTTTTTAGTGCTGGGAATTTAGCCCAGGACTTTGCAAATGATAGGTACACATTGTACCACTGAGCTACATCCCCAATGATTCTTCAGCTAAGTGTCCATGCTCCCAAATGAGAGGACATGAGATCTATTTTGACCTGTATTCTCAGAGGAAAAAAAATCCCTAAAACTACAAGAATCAAGCGCTTCGATGACTGTACAACCCATAAGAGACTAGATAATTTATACCAGAGTGAAATTTGAGAAATATTTAATATTTATTTTGGGTTCAAACTATATTTACATATCAGGGAGTTGTGCTAAGAAATATCAGTAAGGTGAATATGTACCACACCTTGGACATTATTATGCTAAAAGCCATATTTCTGATGTTCATAGACAGTTGTTTATATGAGAAAGATGCAAGATGCTGACAGTTCTGAATAAGTCTTTATAAGATGAAGTTAAAGTCAGAAGCTTAGCATAAGGACAGTAGCATTGAATAAACATGTAGCAGCTCTGATGTTTTAGAAATGCAATCTAATAGTAATTCTATGCAATATTCTGCAACCTTGGTTTTGTGAAAACAGTGTTGAGCATTAGAAAAACAAAATATGCTAACAGGATATATTGTTGGTGAAATGTGTTATAGGAAAGTGCATAATTTTCTATTTAGAATTTACAAGTGGGGTTTTTTTATGTGTGTGAATGCCTCATTAGTAAAGAGTAGTTTTTGTAGTTTTTCAGCTAAGCAAAAAAAGTTTTAAAAAAATACTATTTGGGAGGACTGGAGAGATGGCTCAGCACTGAGTGCTCACAGAGGATCTGCATTCAGTTCTCAGCACCCACATAGTGGCTCACAGTCGTCCAAAATTCCAGTCCCAAGGATCTGATGCCCTCTTCTGACTTCCACGAGCATTGCACACTCATGGTGCACTTAGATACATGCAGGCAAAACACGTGCACATAAAAATAAATCAAAAAATGTAATACTATTTGATAAGCTGTGCATACATTATTTGGGGCTGCTTAAGTTCATTTTGGTGGAGCTGAGAAAGTACTGCTTGTGCTCTGTGAGAAATCCCAGCTCTCACATCTGTTTGCTAATCCACAATGTGAAGAGAACCCAGTGGTAAGTAATTTAGAACTTTTACCTGAATTTTTACATAAGTATGGTGTCATTTTTGTTTATTGACCTTTATTTTCAATGTTTTAGAGCAAAGTATGTTTCTAGCAGACTTTTTTAAAATCTATTCACCCATCAGTCCTTGCTAGGAGAATTTGGCTACCTACCATTTCTTCGCACTATGAATCCTGAGGTTAAATCAATGGTTCCATTCTAATTGCCAGTACAGTACCCTCTCATTTTTCCACCCTTGGTGGACAGGAGATGAGTTCCAAGACCCCTAGTGGATTCCTAAACTCAAGATAGGATGAAAGTATAGGTAATGTGGTTCTGCAACACTTACTGTAAAGGTAACTGCCTAGTGATGGACATGTATACAGTGTAGATACACTAGACAAAGGATAATTGATGCGCCCCCATGAGATTTCATCAAGACTGTGTTAAATGGTGTGCAATTTAAAAACTTAGGAATTGAGGGTTTTAGGTATATTCAGAAGTAAAGCACTTGTCTAATATGCAAAGGGTCTTCTGTTTGATTCCCAGTACGGTACACCCCTCAGGACATTATGAATTGTTTGTGAAGTTTTCCATTTAGTGTTTTTGGACTGTCGTCCCACAAATAGCAAAACTTCAGGAAGAGGAGCTACCATAACTTGATTATAGTGATGTTCTGGTTTGTTTCTCCGCTATTGTGACAAAATACTCTGACCAATACTAACTTGGGGAGGAAAAGGTTTATTCAGCTTACATCTCCCGGGTTACAGTTCATCAGGGAGCCCAAGATAGGAACTCAGGTTAGGAGCTGGAGCGCAGGCCATGGAGGAATGCTGCTTACTGTCTTGCTCCCCTGGCCCCTGCTCAGCCTGCATTTCTTTTTTTCTTTTTTTTTTTTTTTGTAATTATTTTTATTTTATGTGTATGAGTGTATTGCCTGCATGTATGTGAGTTCACCCGTGTTGTGCAATGCCACATAGGTTAGAAGAGGGCTTCGGATTCCACTGGAACTGGAGTTAAGGACGGTTCGTAGCTGCCATGTGGTGCTGGGAATCAAACCTAGTTCCTCTGAAAGAGCAGTCAGTGCTCTTAACTGCTGAGCCATCTCTCCAGCCCCTCAGCCTGCTTTCTTATGCAACACAGGCCCACCTTCCCAGGGGTGGCACCACCCACAGTGGACTGGGCCTTCCCACATCACTCAACAATCAACAAGATACCTCCTGGCCATGGCCACAGGCCAGTCCAATGAAAGCAGTTCCCCAGTTGAGGCTCCCTCAACCCAGGTGTCTCAAGTTGACACTAAAGCTATCCAGCACAATTGACCCCCTTGTCAACTTGACACATAAACCCATCACTATTAAACCATAACCTTTCCAATTATCCCCAAGATATAATGTTAACATTTAATATCACAACATAAAAAAAAAAAGAGTACAACCTTAAAAACCCCACAGTCTGCAGGGCATGGTGGCGCATGCCTTTAATCCCAGCATTTGGGAGGCAAAGGCAGGCAGATCTCTGTGAGTTCAAGGCCAGTCTGGTCTGCCTAGTGAGTCTCAGGACAGTTGGGCTACAGGGAGATCCTGTCTCAAAAAGACCAAACAAAACAATAGCGAAAAAACACCCCATAGTCCTTAAAAAAATTCAAACACTTAAAAGTCCATGTCTTTTAAAAGTCTCTTAACTGTGGGTGGGCTTCTGTAAAATCCAAAACAAGTACTGTCTTATTTCAAGGGAGAATCGGGCACACCTAGCTCAAGGCTGGACATGTGGGATTCACTCCCAATCTTCTGGGCTCCATAGGGTTCTGCTAGCTCCACTTCTCTGCCATCCACAGCACACACAGCTCGTCTTGCAGACCCAGGCCAGCTCTATTCCATACCTGCTGTCCTTGGTGGTTGTCCCACAGTCCTGGCATTTCCAAAAAGCTGGGGTCCCCACTAGAAATGAGGCTACACTTTCACCAATGGCCTCTTCTTGCCTCTTGGGTGGAACAGCTCAGATTCTCTCCATAACCCCTTCAATTCTGGAGTCTTCAGTGTAACTAAAGCTGCACTTTCACCTATGGCCTTTGCCAAGCCTCAGCTGCTCTCTGTGATCCCTTCACACTTTCAACACCAGAACCATGCAGGAGACTCTTACACATTACCAAGTCCTGCTTCCAGCTTGAGATAGAGGCTTGGGTCCCCTCTGTGTGTTGACCCTGAGGAAATACCTCTCAGAAGACTTCACCACAGTGATGCTGGTCTTTTACAGCTGATTTTTCAGCCCCAGCTAACCAGCACCAATTGTCCCAGTAAAGCAAAGGACTTCGGGTGCTGGTCTCTTCTTACAGCTGATTCTTCAGCCCTAGCCAACCAGAACCCACAGATTCTCAATTCAAAATACCACACAAACAGCCCTGGTAGTTCTGCTTCCCTTTGAAGCTTCACAAGCCAGGCCTCCATTGTTTACAACTCTTCCAACATAACCTTTCCAAGTTCCACAGCAACAAACTCTAAGCATTCAATGGCTTTTCCAGCCCAAAGTTCCAAACACTTTCACAGTCCTCTCAAAAACAATTGGATCAGGCCTCTCACAGCAATACCCCACTCTCGGTACCAATTTCTGTTCTGGTTTGTTTCTCCATTGTTATGACAAAATACACTGACCAATACTAACTTGGGGAAGAAAAGGTTTATTCAGCTTACATCTCCCAGGTCACATCAGGAGCCCAAGATAGGAACTCGGGGCAGGAACCTGGAGGCAGGAGCTGGAGCACAGGCCATGGAGGAACACTGCTTACTGGCTTGCTCTCCTGGCCCCTGCTCAGCCTGCTTTCTTATGCAATACAGGCCCACCTTCCCAGGGGTGGCCCAAACCACAGTGGGCTGGGCCCTCCCACATCACTCATCAAGAAGATGCCCTACAGACATGGCTACAGGCTAGTCCAATGGAGGAAATACCCCAACTGAGGCTCCCTCAACCCAGGTGTGTCAAGGCGGATCTAAAGCTATCCAGCGCAAGTGGCTATATGACCCAATCCTGGACAAACCAAATGGAGGTGAATTTGTTCTGTAAAATGGTGACTAAATGGGTCTTTCACCAAGAATGGAAGGATGGTTAAATATTCAAAAGACTAACAAGAACATGAGAAAATGCATGTTAAAAAAAATGTCAATTTATCTTAGCAAACTATGGAAAGGAATGGACAAAGGGTAACATAAACTACAACCAAAAGCATACAGAATGATGTAAATACCAAAATTTTTCTCACAACTTAAAAAAAAGTATTCACTATCACTGATTTTATGTGACATTGTACAGAAGGATCTAGCAAGGGAAGTAAGGGGGGTGGGACACCAAGAAAGTAAAAATATTTGTGGATGGCACTTTTCCCATAATGCATTCTACAGAATAGTCAGGTAATTAAAATTAATGAAGTTAAGCAAGGATTTTGCATGCAAAGTCATTTTATAAAAATTGTGATTTTTAAGCCGGGCATGGTGGCGCACGCCTGTAGTCCCAGTACTTGGGAGGCAGAGGCAGGCGGATCTCTGTGAGTTCAAGGCCAGCCTGGTCTACATGGTGAGTTCCAGAACAACTGGGGCCACAGGGAGACCCTGCTTCAAAAAGACCCCAAAAAAAAAATTGTGATTTTTTTTTCTTCAGTGTACCAGCCAAAATGCATAGATTATTTTGTAAGCAATACCATTTACAAAAATTTTCAAGTGCCTAAGGAAAAGTACATTTTCAGTCATTTTATCTAGAACAAAACTTATCGCACATTGAGACAGATATATCTTGTTTGTGGTTTTCAGGGCAAGCTCAAAAGGATGTTAGTTTCCCCTAAATTAAGTCATATACAGTGCAGTCTTAAAATCTTAGCAAATTC